AATACAGTAATTGGCAGTTAATGAGATGTAAGTACTGTAGTCTCAGACACTTTAGAGTTATTCATGTCTCTGCACCATTTTCATCCGGGCCTCATTTTCTAAACACCAGACCTGTAATTATGCCAAAATCTATCTGAGCCAGAGAATATTTTGTTTTTCCCTATTGCTACCTACAGAGCATAAAACTGTGGAAAGCTTTGGACTTGCAAAGTTAATTTTAATCCCTGCCCAGTGAAAACTTTGCATAGCAACTCAATAAGGTAAAATTATAGGTGTATGGATCATAGATTGCAGAGTTTACAGAGAAATCTAGAAAGTATCTATGAATAATTTAGGCATTTGGCTTTAGCATCCACCCCATTTTGCAAATGAGTTAGTCAAAGCTTAGATCTAGGGTTCGAATTGGAGATCTGTCTGGCCCTAAAGCTAGTAGCCTTGTTTGAAGGGGTTTGGCACCTGTCTTTCACCTTCCTGCACAGTGATTTTTTTCATTGTGTCATGCTGTTGCCAGCCTACCTTGAACTCTTTCATCATCTACTTAGGTGTTTTGTATAAACACCTTTTTTAAAAGTTTTATTTCTATAGTATTTAATTTATATAGTATTTTTCAATGACTGTGTCCTTGCAAGAGATATTTTATTGTACTAAATTTGCACACATACCTGAGTTAGGAAGATAGATGCACTTTGTTTTGTATAAAAAGTCCAGGCCTCATGTTTACATTGAAAATGTCAGTCTTTGTTTCCACTCAAGTGTTAACCTTTCTAAAAATGTCCCTCACGTTGAAGGACATCCAAAAGGCAGTAACTTATTAGAACCTTGGGTTCAGATTACAAATGTGTTTGGCTAGCTCAGTTTTGAAGTTCATATTATCTTAGAATTATTTTAAATATTTGTATAGGAATGCTGATTAGTTTACTCATGTGTTGCCTCATAACTATCCACTAATAACCACCTTGGCCTATGATCATTAACTCTTAGGGCTCAAGCAAGCTTTCAGCAAAGGTGATTTGCTTCAGGGTTAGAAGCTGTCATTTTATGTCTTCACCCCAGAACTCAAAAGTGTTCACACAGAAGAGGGATTTGAAAACTGATTTTTAAAACTGCATTTTATTCTTTTGAGCAGAAGTGTTGAAAAAAAATAGTTCTGATGAGGTAACGTCCTCCCCTACCCTCACCCTTTTTGTAGTTAATATTTTCTGATTTTCTAATATTTCTACATTTAACTGGAGACTAGCAATATGGTATAGGGGAAAGAATGTTGGTGTGGAGTCAGGATAGGTGGGATTTTGTTCTGGCTCTGCCATTCAACTCATGGTCTTAGACAAGTCATTTAGTTTCTCTGGGTTTTGGTTTCTATAAATGAGAAAGTGACACACAGTCATTCCTAAGCTGTTTTCCAACCAGAAGAATCTGTAAATATGTGTATTCTGCCAAGAGGCACTAAACTAGCTAGAAGACTACAGATCCAAGTGAGGGTCACACAGACCCTTGCCTCCTTTATTTCTTGCCTTTTGATAAGCCAGCTTCATGGGCTGCAACTTGTTCAGCCACACAGAACCCCAAGCTCAGAAGGACTCTGTGCTTGGCTTCCTGCTTCTCTGTCACCTTGCAATTGTAATAATTTCTCAACAAGGGCCCTGCATTTTCCTTTTGCTCTGGGCCAGGCAAATCATACAGCCAGTCCTGCCCTTTGGTAATATATTTCTTGCCAGTGCATCTACCAAGTGAAAAAAGAAATCGTGACCCTGAATTGGTCACTTTTGCCACCATTTTATCTCTTGGGTAGACTGAAGATAGCATAATATTGACAAAATTATATATGTGGATTTGGGGTGGTAATTTTCAATGATATGAGTTCTTGATTGCTTACATTTTCATCCTTCTATGCTTCTTCACCCCACCTCAATCCAATTTTTTTAAATGAGAGTTAATTACTGGTATTTACCAAGTATTTTCAGTCTCTCCATTCAATGTCATTCTCTCCATTGCTACATAAACAATTATAGTGCAATATAGATAACACTTTTGGCTTTGAAGTATCACTGTTGCACATTTTTATTTTTCTGGAGAAGCTACAATTAAAGCAGCTTGATGACTAGAGAGGAGAAGTCTTCTCTGGTCTGATGCCACCAGTAGAGAGATTTCTGTCTGCATGTATGTGGTCTGTTTCCATCAGCAGCTGGTTTGTTCTGACCAGATGAGCCACCAAGAGACCGTGAGAGGTCAATTTTGTATAAAGAGGGACTTGCTAAAGGTGCTAAGATCTGCATTCATGCAGAGACCAGCTGGATTGTATATGTTAACACTGATAAAAATTACTCTGTGACTGCAATGAACATATGCTTTCTTGGCTTATATACTATTGTGTGCCAAAGGATGAAAGAGCAAAAGATGTAGAGAAAAATGTTTCTATGTATCTGTTGATGGTTGATGGGGTTTTATGTTATGAGTCTGGTTTCAGAAAGTTGGAACAAATCTCTACGCAACTATCTGGCCAAGTTACGTATCACATCAATGACAATAAATTGGTTTGATGGGCCACTGCAGGGTGTCTGTTTCCAACTAATCCCCAACTTTTTTCTTTGGCAAACCTAGTGTTTATAATCTTCCAAAATGCTGTCTTTTTGCCCACAATTCATAAAGTTTTATTCCACCTACTTGAAGATTGATTATAGCTGACTTTTAACTATATTAATAATATCTGAATATTTTAAAATATTTAGCTAGTCTTTTTTCTTCTTTAAAACTAAATTTAAGTGACAGTCTCTATGTTGAATTCTAACGGCTGCCCTGGATTCTGATTTCTAGATGGAGAAACATGTTGTTTTTATTGTTGAAATCACATAAACTGGTGTTTTGATTTACAATTGTGCTTAAGAAGAGCGAGGAAACGATTGGTAAATTTTAGAAGAGCATGCAATCGGTCATTCAACAACATTTTATTAATGTATCTGGTATTGATAACCAGCAAAGCAGTAGTCACAGCTTATATTTATGGGTTCCTTGTATCCGATGCAAATTGAATTTTTCCAGCAGTAAATGTATAGTTGCGAAACTGTGAGATTTTAAATGAAAAGGACTGAAGTGGAACTCCTCCGGTAATTAGGTAAATGCTTCGGTTCCATGCATTTTATTTCAGAACACTGCTTTGCAGAGATTCCAAAGAAAGAGCCACATTAGCCTAAACACACAGTTTACCTATGAAAAGAGAGGCTCAAGTTCTGAGTGTCCACCAAGGGGGCATAGTATCCTCCTCTGTGACCCCCAGGAAAGGAGGCAGGGGCACTCAGTGCCTTCTCCTAAGTGCTGGTCTCTCCTATGGAGTGACCCTAAAGGTGCCCATTAGTATCCCAGCGAAAACTTCTGCCAAGAGTCTGAGATGACACTTTATTTCACAGACATCATCTGATGGGGCTCTAGACAGAAACTCCTATGGCATGAAGTGAGTACTGTGGCATGTTACCCCTCAAAGGGAAACTCAGCGTTTTTGCCCTTAGCTGAACACTGGAATCACTTGGGCAAAGAAGGAAATACTGATGTCTGGGTCGTACCCACAGAGATTCTGTTGTAATTGGTCTAGGGTGTGGCCCAGGCATTGGGATTTGAGAAGCTCCCCAGATAATTTTAAGGGGCAGCCATGACTTAGAACCAAAGCCTATAGTGTAGTTTGCTTTTATTTAAATATATAAACCTTTGTGGAGATATAATTCACATATCATACTAGGCACCCATGAAAAGTGTACAAGTTAATAGTTTTAGTATAGTCACGGAGGTATTGTGCCAACATCACCACAATCAATTTTATGTTTTCATCGCCCCAAAAAGAAATCCACTAGTAGTCAATCCCTGTTTCCTCCACCCCACCTCCAGCCCTAGGCAACCACTAATCTACTTTATGTCTGTACAGATTTGCCTATTCTGGATATTTCACAAAAATGGGATCATATAATTCGGCATTTTATTTAGCCATTCATCAGTTGGTAGATATTTGAGTTGGCCTACTTTTTGGCTATTAAGAATAATGCTGCCACAAACACTTATGCCCAAGTTTTTGTGTGGACATACATTTTCATTTCTCTTGGGTATACATCTAGGAGAAGAATTTCTGGATTACACAGTAACTTGAACTTTTAAGGAATGGCCAGACTGTTTTCCAAAATAGCTGCACCATTTTCCTTCCCATCAGCAGTGTATGAGGGCTCTAATTTCTCCGCATCCTTGCCAACACTTGTTTTTGTCTGTCTTTTTGATGATAGCCATCCTAGTAGGTATAAAATAGTATCTAGTTATGGTTTTGATTTGTACATATTTGTGTATCATCTTTGGAGAAATGTCTATTTAGAGCCTTTGCCCATTTTCCAATTGGGTTGTCTTATCACTAATGAGTTGTAACAGTTCTTTATATATTTGAGATACAAGTTCCTTATAAGATATTCGAGCTTCTCTAGGGAAAGAACATACATGACAAGTGTCTTTCTGCAATGCTGAGCTTAAGGGGGGCACATTAATGTATGCTTTGGGAGACCATATTGAAACTTGCATCACTTCCTATAAGCCTTCCAGGCAAATGCCCTTTTCTCTCAAGAAGGCAACAGGAAAATAGGCACAGAATCGTATAGACCTGAGTCCAAATCCTGGCTCTAGAACAAAACTTAGGTGGTTTTCAGTGAATTTTTACTTGACTTCTTTGAGCCTCATCTTCCTCTTTTATGTCATAGAAATGTATCTACTGAAGGTCATTGTTGGGTCACCTGAGATAGCAAATATAAAATCCCTGGGCCAAGTTGAGGGTTCAATATATTTTATTCATCTCTCCCTTTCAATACCAAAGCTATGATGGAACCTGAGTTCCAAAACTCATTTTTTCAGTCTTGAATCTACAGATTTAAAAGAGCCAATAGCAAAAATGGAGGTTGGCTTTACCATGGGACACGTCAGATCCGTGTCCTATATCATTCTATTATTTCAGTGGTCTTAAAACCTTCCTTCTTTGGCAGGCTATAGGACCTCACCTTATGGAGTCTTCCTGCCACCTTGAGAAAACATTACTATTGTCCATGACTTTGGTGATACATCAGCATTCCAGCGAAGTACCCAGCTGTTTGAAACAGCAGGTATTTATTTTCTTTGCTCTAAATATGCAAAAATGAAATGTAGCTGCCTGTTTTGGAAACACTTTGTTGGTCCATGTCATTCATTAGGTCAGCTTAAGCAGTGGAATGTATTATGACCTTGGGCTGTGACCTCTCCCAAGTGCTCCTAGACCTTGTTTATGCAGACATTTGTGGGCCAAGGAGCTGAACCTAAGCTCAAACGTCCCTAAGCCACTCTTTTGAAAGGTTAATTGTTCAGCGGGAGTATTTATGTGACTGTCAGTAGGAGGGAGCCTTTTACCAAGAGGAGAGTGTGAGACTTCATATTCAAAGGAAGTTATACTATAAGGAGTCATGGCATCTGGCTGGGTTTCTTTGAGTGACAATGGGTATTTAATCCTTCCAAGGACATCCATTACCTTCTGTGTGATACAGAAATGTTGAGCTTCTCTTTCATGAGCCTGAAATGTCCCGAAGATCAGTAAGATAACAGGCAGGGAAGGACTTCACTCCAAGGACAATGTATAGATTCAAGTAGTGGCATCTGTATTATTTAGATTCCCATAGAATTAAGCCCAGTTGTTTTCTACAAAAATACTCAGAAGTTTGCTTAATGATTATGGATCAAAAACAACAAATTTGAGAATTACAAATAAGCATGAAAAGAGACATTAATTCAATAAGAAATATTTACCATTTATTTTTATTAGGCTATATTATCATATATATTCTTTTTAAAAAACTTTATGGATATAAGTAGAGATAATAAAAAGTAGGATAAACTATTTATTTTCTATATCAAGAGAGGAGAATAGGGTTATATATAAATTCTAACCAGTGTATGTTCCAAATCTATGAAAATTCCTTCTGGAATTTAGCCTGGTATGTATAAACTAAGCATATAAAGTACAAATGTTACTCATATAACTATAAATATGTAAAGACTAACATATTTGATTTTGAAATGCAGTCAGTTATAACTTAAGACACATGTAAATATATAATCTCTTTCTGCTGAGTTCAGCACATCCCCTTGAGAAATGTAGAACTTGGCTTTAAAATGGTAAAAAAAAGAAGCCTGGATAGTAATTTGAGGATGGCTTTCAGTTGGGTATAACTTTAACTTTTTTAGGTTAGGTTCCTAGCATTACGTTAGTTGGTTAATAGGTACAAAAATGCAGTTAGGTAGAAGGAACAAATTCTAGCATTTGATAGTATAATAGGAAATTATAGTTAACAATAATGTTATTGTATATTTCAAAATACTTAGAAGAGAAGAATTGTAATATTCCCAGCACAAAGATAAATATTTGAGGTGACAGATATCTCAATTACACTGATTACTATACTTTGTGCACAGTTATCAAAATATCACATGCACCCTCCAAAATAGGTACGGCTATTCTATATCAACTTTGAAAATCTGGAATCAATTCTCAATTAAATCCAGAATTTTCACTTGGAAAAAAAATAACCAAACCCTCAATACATTCAACAATAATAAAATGTGAAACATTTTTCCCTAGACTTGGAAGAAATAAAATGGGGGATTCTAGTTTAAGCAAAACCTTATGTGTGGTTGTAAGAATCAAATGAAAAGATGCACATAAAAATGTTTTGGAAGTGGCAAAATACTCAGCGGGGTACCCACCAAGAGGGGCAATAGAGCGCAGCCGTCAGGAGAGGTTGCTTCGGAGCCAGACTGCCCGTGTGCCAATTCCAACATGTCTGTTCTATGTGCAGGGTCCACATGTCTAAAACAGGGACCATAACAATTCCCTTTCCTGCTATGAAGAGTAAACCCATTAGCATATGTAGAATTCTCAGGACAATGCCTGGCACATGGAAGGTGCTTAAGCAATATTGGTGATGGTGATGATGATGATGATGAAGATGTAAATGTATTTGAGGAAAATGAGAGCACAGAGGAAGAAGTGTTTGGTTTTGGAAATGGGAAATGGATCAGCTGACCTAATCAGCTTAAAAAGGAGTAAACAGAATATTAGAAAAAAAAAATTAGATTTTGAATTAGAATGGCAAGGCACATCCAGCTCACAAATATGTTCTAAGTTGAGGTGATTATCTTTCTTGGTACTGACAGAAATATTAGCAGCACTTAACCATAGCTCAGAAAGGAACTATTTTGAGCAGACATTGCACATATACTATGGAGCCAGGAAAATGCTAGTTTAAAAACAAGGTTTAACAAGGAATCACTGTCTCCAGATTTAATAGCAAGCATCATAAAGATTATGAAATGGTGATGTGGGATAATACATGTTTTTATTGTCACAAATGTGGGATGACAGCATTATTCAAGAATGGTAGACAAAACAGCCTGACTCCGACGAGAAAGAGTACATCTCTCCACAAGACCTATTCTGAAGCTGAACTGTAGTGATTCTTTTATGCCTTTGACCATATTTTGCCACCTATTTTCTGAAATAATAGCTAAATATTCCAGAGAAGCTAGAACCACATGGGTCTTACTTTCTCGTGGTGGTGGAGCAGGTGCCTGAGCAGCCAGATAGCCCTCCAAAGAGCTTTCCCAAGACCAACCAGCTTTCCCCACTCACGTACCCACCCCCACCACTGCCTCTGCCCAGCTGGGCAGTGCACCTGACCTCTGCCTGGGACATACCTTCCCTAGTTGCTGCCACAGATGCAGGCTGGGTGAAATGGCCCCTGAAAAGATTCATCTCTGCTTTTCCACCAGCTGAGGAAAATTGTCTGCAGGGCTGTCTCAGAGCTGCCAAAATCATTCCAGCAGTACTTGGCAAAATCCCAGGCTGTGAGTTCTTCATGCTAAAAATGGAGAATTTGGGCCAATATTCTCACTATAATTTTCCTAATTCCAAGAATTTAAAAATAATATATATATATATGTATATGTATATATATTCAGGGAAAGGATTCGGAAGCAGCTGGGTATCAGGCTGAGAGGCGGGCTAAAAACAGAACAGCTGTGCTGGTTGTGAGCCTGAGCTAACTGCATAACCCTTGAGTTCTTTGAACCCTGGGCCTGAGGATCCGAGGCTATAAAACAGAGCTGCTAAGTGTTGACCTATCTGATTTCTTGTGAGACATACAGAGTTGAGTTGGTTATTAAGCAGTTTTCAAATGGAAAGTATTACAGAAATGCTTATAATAACAAAAGTCTAATTATAGCATTTTCCCAGGTTCTGGGGCTGCTCTGGTGGGAAGGATGGCACCTGCGAGCCCTAACATGCCTATCAGACAGGTGGTGAGATGTCTACAAAAGTAAATACTCTATTATCCATGGTGATATCTCATATGCCAATCAACATAATAAGTGTAGCTGGACAGCTGCTTTGGTTTAAGATAAGCGAAGCAAGTGTGGGAGTGTTTTAAAACCATTTATGCTCAGGTAGATATCCTTAACATGTGTTTCAGCTGGAAAGCAGGGATGGCGGGGGTGGGCCTCATGCCTCTTGGTATCTTCATGGTAGGTTATGATTATAAAGTGCCTAGCATTCTGCCTGGCACATAGCAGCCGACCAGTGAATCGTCGTCTCTTTCCCCCATCCCCAAGCATGTTATTGCCAGTGGGCTATGGCTGTGGAGAGGGCCACGTGGAGCATTCAGTGCCAAGAGTGCGCAGTCTCAATAAAATCAGTAGGTTTGCTATACAAACAGAGCCTGAGGACAACAACTCTGGTTCCTCCTACTGACCAGATTGTCACCTCTAGCCTTCACACCTATGAAGACATTTTTGAACTGTCATTGGTTGCCTTTTATTCGGTGAGTGCTCCAAAAATACCTGTTGATTCAACCGCCTCTCTTACGGACATTTACAGCATTCCAAGATTGCGATTGCCTTTGGTGAATGCCGCTGAACAGATTCCTACTTGTTGAGTATTGCTTATTGCCGAAGCTATTTTTATAGACACTGCCAAAAGCCTTTAATCCTCTCTCAGTCGAGTGTATCTTTTGGGTTGTTTTTGTTGTCACAGCTAACCTTTTGGCAGAGAATGGGGCAGACTAGGAAAAGGCAATTGAGATAGGAAGCAGTCTGTAGAAAGATCCTTGGAAAAACCCTTTCCCCTGAATTACATTTTTGCATTCCATTAGAGAACAACGGATTAAAAACAAAGCACAAATCTGGCTGAGAACCTGAAAGGCAAGTTTCAGCATGAGTGAATTTTTAACAGCCTCAAAAGAGGGGGTTAAAATGAAATTCTGACAACCTTAACTACATTTCTTTCTTAAAGCGTTGCTATAATAATAAAAGGTGAAATGTCAGCAGTCACATATTATTCTGTCTAACAATACTTTATAATTTTTCCTCTGTGGGAGCACTTGCCCTTTTATAGTCTCAATTCTGCCTTTGACTGACTGCCCAAGACGGCAATTACTTCAGCCATTTACCTGTATATGGGCGGCACAGCCAAGACCTACTCTACATTGCTGAGTTCCCCTCAGGGACTTGCTCTTGGGGACTTCAGCCAATAAAAGAGTCCTGTGATAGGGGATACTTGCTGCCTCTGGGTTTTGAACCACTCCAAAGACATGTATTCATCCTTTAGCCTTGAAAACACACTGCTGGCTTTGCATTCTGCGAAGAAGAGCCCAGCTTCTTTCTGTGTGTCAGGAAAACACTTTCAGACATCCAAAAAAGGACAGAATCTCCTTCAGAGTATTGCTCATAGTTATGACAAAGTGGTAAAGGGGTTCTTCTATTTAAATTCTATCTGCTTAGCAAGCATGCTTTGAACAACTGTGTGTCCACCAACCTAGAGCATCTCAAGGGGGAAAGCTACCAAGAAGACTATTACACAGAACCAGCCCACAAAGAGGCTTCTGTTTTGTGGGAAAAGTTAGGTGAGAGGTGTAAACTATTATGAGAAGTAAGTAGTAGGCTGACCAAGGAAGTAGCCTGCCTTGAGGGTAGAAACTAGAATCCTGGAATCAATCAGTCATGACCCAACAACTCAAATGCCCTCAAGGATGGGCAGGTTAGGAAGTGAATGAAGGATGGGGTTAGAGAACGGTAGCTCATT